TTTTTAAAGTTAAAGGTCCTATAGTATATTATGCAAAATTGACTCGTGTGAACTTTAAGCCATTTTACAATGTTGTTACTATATCAAAAACTTACCTGAAGTTGTGTTTTGTTTAATTTACAAATGTTTGAGTAACCCTTTATTATCAATCTGTCTACATCTCCAAAGCTCAAAATGTTCTGTTCCACAAAGACTGCGTTCAGACTGCAGCCTGAATTAACCCAAATCCGATTTTTTGGCCCCTTATGTGACCTGTATCTGATCTTTTAATGACAGTCTGAACGACACAGATCCGATTTTTTCAAATGCGACCCAGGCCACTTGGATATGTAATTCTGAAACCGATACATATTTGATCTTTTGACATGCGACTTCAGTCTGAACGGCCAAAGCGCATCCATCCGACCTACACAAGCCACAAACGATGTCATGTAGTGATGGTGTTCGCGTTATCAGCTACCTTTTACATTGAGTTTAATTAAGATAGGCAATTTCAGAGCTGAAATTATTGAGTGAATATGTATGTAGATTTAAAATAAAGTGGAGTACTTCCTGAATTATAACATGACATCACAAGGTGGAACAGAGTGTTTTCTGTTTGAGAGAAGAACTCCGCCTAAATATCCAGGATTATTGTGTTAAGCATGTGTGAATTAAACAAAACACAACTCCAGGTGTGTTTTTGATGAGGAAACAAAATTATAACATATATTAGAAAATAGCATAACATGGGCCCTTTAACAGTTCATTCTCTTTCACTTATCGGCTAATCACAGAGATTCATTGTACATTTGTTGCTCTTATTTTGAGCTTTAGATAAATAATAATAAAAGTACCCTTTACGCCATTGTCGCCAATTCAACCTTGAACACTAGCCCACTGTTAATCAACATTAGATGATCAGTACATGTTTTTATTCCTTGTTTTGAGTGGAGTTGTTGAAGTCACTGACCAATGCATGAACTTGTACCCTCCACTCTGTATAAATTTTGATGGTTTGGTGAGAGAACGGGACGAGAGGTGGAGGAGGTCACCCAAACACACAGCGAGCCGACTACGACAGGCTTTTTAGGCATGCCATTTCCTCCAGGAGCTCATTATGGTACAGTCCACAGCAGCAGTCAGGGAGCAGGAACAGAGGTCATATGCAAGGAGATGCTACAAGTTTGAGGAGGAGGAGGAAGAAGAGGGTGTCTTTGGAAAGATAAAATGTGGTGACAACTTATTTGCGCAGAAGTACAGATGGTTTGAGACTTCCTGTCAGTTGTCAGTTTCTGATAGCTCTGAGCGTGATGGAATTTTGGTATTTTCTGCACTTTTCTTAACAAAAATGTGTCACATAAGTCATGTCCCAAGAGTAACAAATCTTTTGCTATTAATAAAAACACTATGGTGTAATGGTCACATTTTTCTATTGTGCTTTTCCACCCTCAAGGCACTTTACATCAAGGAACCACTCACCCACTCACACACATTTGTACAGTAGTGTACGCAGACACTAGAGGTGAGGTGGGTTAAGTGTCTTGCCCAAGGACAACAACAACATCATCATCTGTGGGAGTTGGAATTGCACTGCCTCTATCAATCATGTTTATGTTGAAAACGGGATTCGAACCACAACTTTTGGATCGATGGCCAAACACTCCACAAAAACTGAACTACTAACATCTCTTTACTGCAGTGCTTCTCAATTATTTTCTGTCACACACCCCCAAGAAGAAGAAAACAGACAAGTGGACAAATCGCACCCTCGCCTTCAGTAGCCTACATATGAGAGCAAATGTTTTAGTCACGTCTATGTTATGACTCAGCTCTGCTAAAGACAGGGGAAGTAACAAAATAACCAACATGTAAAAATGGTAAAACTAGTTGTGATTTATTTAAAGGAATTGTTAAGGTAAAGCTAACAAAAAGGGTATTTTTACAATAATTAACAAAAGAGGCTTTAAACAGAGTAGCAAAATTCATGTAACTAAAAGTAGGCTAACTAAAAACAGTATACAAAATGACTACAGAAAAACAAAACCAGTCTCAATTAAGTCACACAAACGACTAGTGTCTCAATTACAAAATTATCAAGCACAACACAAGAGACACAGCAAGTGCACAGCAAAAAGTGGAGTGTTAAAATTGACTCTCACAGAATCAACTTTAACATTTTCTCAGAGTTTATAAGAGTCCAATCTGTTCTAGAGTTAATTTAACATTTTTGGAAATGTTAATTAAGTAACACTGGACCAAAGTTCCTGTTTAATCCTGAAATCCAGAGTTATATTAATGTTTTGAGAGTAAATAGATAACACTTAGAGTAGAGTTATTCTGATTTAGCTAAACAACACAGAGGTGTTTTATTTTTTATTTTATTTTTACTTTATTTTAGTTCATTTAAGATGAAATTATGTACAAAACTGGTTCAAACTGGTCTTCTCTCACAAGAGTTTGAAGTGGCGAATGGGAGGAGCCAAATTAACACTAAGGAAGTTGAATTAACACTAGAGGAAGTTGAATTAACCTCAACCAAATCAACTCTGACAAATAACCCCAACTCAAACCCCCATTTAACTTTCAAATAGATAAAATAACACTTTTGGTGTTAAAAACAACTCTGAAATATCTCACCCTAAAATTTTAACCCTCCATTTTTTGCTGTGTGGCATGCAGCCCACAGATGGAACAGCAGCCCTGAGGGGCAGGGGGCGGGTCCTTTTATAGGGCCGGTGCTGCAGGTATAAGCCCAGGATTGGCCAGGTGTCAGCTAGGGAGGAACCAGGTGCCAGCTTCAGTTGAACCCACCAGTCACAGCAAAGGTCTGGATATGGAGGCTTCCACACACGCACGCATGGATCAAAACAGATATGGCTGTAGGAGGAGCTGGAGGCCCGTGCCCGTAACAGACTCCAAATATGTCCGTCTGTATTCCGCGCTCTGCTCACCAGCGTCTTGAGGCGGTCCGCTCCTGTGTCCTCCTTGTCTTTAAAGATGTCCATGTTATGTTATAATCCGGCAGTATCAGCTCCTTGGCTATTTAGTACATCACCTTATATGATACTAACAGTCCTTGCTGGTTTACTTACTGAAGTAGCAGTCACAAAGCGGGATGATCGTTGGCAATATTCCTCACATTTTCGCTGAAAAAACTCAAGCAGCTTATCAGGGTGACTGGGATGTAATGTCTTTAAGCGACACCGTAATTTATTTGGCTTCCGCTGCCATCATTTTTAGGCACAGTAAACACAGCGGTCTTTCCTCATTTCACACTGTAGTCAAACTGAAGCCAAGCGCTACATACTCTTTATGTACAGTTTGTTCTCTGCACTTCATATCACCTGCTCTGTGCTGTGTGTGCGAATGCTCGGTGCAAAAAACCCGACTCTCTAGCGCTAATACTCCCTGCACACACTCTGACAATGAGAGCGTCACTGCCAACTAGTGTAGTGGATGTGCAATTACACTAATACGGAAAATGTATTTGAGAAGGACTGCTTTACTGCAATACTGTTATAACTGTCACAAATATTTATAAAGTCTACATTTCCTCTTGAACTTTGAGATGCTTTGTAATTAGCTGTAAAAACATCATTAGCACAAACAGTGATTTATGTAGACATGCACTAAAGTTGTATGGGTCAGTGTATTCACGAAAATATATTGTACCATACATTAAAGGCGATGTACCTGTCTTAAAAACATGAAAAAGATAACGTAGTAATTTGCAGTGGTCCAGTTATTCCTTCCTTGCCTGATGCATTCTGAGCATCCTATTCACTGAAATGAGTTTATAAACACTTTTCAGAGGCCAGAGTGAAATTTTCCATCACGGTAATTCTAATAACTTGCATGGTTCTTGAGTCTTTGACAGTAAAACACAATTAGATGCAGTCAGTACACAGCTGACTTATACTGACCCCAAGATCTGCTTATACAATATATCTGTACTGAAGCAAGATACATTTTGCTCAGATACATGGGAAAAAAATCAGGTAGAGGGCTTATAAACACATATGCTAGAAATGGTTCAGGAATGAATTTAAGTGAATGTGATTTGCCTTGTCCTATGTAACTTTGAACTAAATTAAAAAGCAATTCTTTATTAATATAATATAACATAACCTAATGTATTTGTATATACGTTTGGTTCAGAATCTTCAGGACCTTTACAAAGCTGTTAAAAGTTTTCCTGTCATTGGTCCACCCCTCTTCCTTCCTCTCTGTAATCTGTGTTTTTCAATGAGCACACGGGCTGTTGCATCTCTTTATAGTGACAATATTTCCACATAGTGTCTCATGTGTCATTGCAGCTGTCACCACGGAAACTACAGGCTCATTTAAGTTGTGTTCGAACATCCTTTATCTTTACATGTTGTTTTTGCCCTTCGCTGTCTGTCCTCCCGTCCTCGGCAGCAGCATTTAGGTTTTAGTGTTTGGTCGATTACACAGTGGTGGGAACAGGACTAGAAATTTGTACCAACATTTTTTACTTGGCTGAAAATTAGTCAATTACAAGCGAGGGAGAGAGGGAAAGAGTTACTTTATTGATCCCAAGGGAAATTCAAGTTTTGGTGCAGTTTGCAATTTTTTTTGGTTGGTAATAAAATGGTAATTCCTTCAAAGTGTTTCCTCTGGAAGGTCTTCTGCCACATTTGCTGCCAAATATTGTGTAAAAATCCTGTAGCATTTCAAATGTGCATAGCCTGCTCCCAATCAGGGCAGGCGGTGCAGTGCTGTTATATTTTTAGAGAGAAAGGGACAAAGACAGCTGTAATTTGAGATAAATGGGACTTGAACTGTACTTCATAACACAAATTATTTCAGCAGCTCATAACAATTGCATGGCTAGAATTATACTAAAACAAATAACTAAAAAAAAACAAAAAAAACAAAAAACTAATTTACAGTTAATGTGAGTATTTGTACTTAGTTTCCTCTCATCCCTCCGATTACCTGATGAACACTATTAAAACAATGTGATGAATAACAGTGTGCATTGCTGTGTGTTTCAGATGTACATCCAGACCACCACTCTGACCATCTCCCTGAGCCTGTCTGCCTCTGTGTCTCTGGGGATGCTCTACATGCCCAAAGTCTACATCATCCTCTTCCACCCCGAGCAGAACGTGCCCAAGAGGAAACGCAGCTTTAAGGTAGGTAACTATTCATTATTGATTATTCATTGACAATTAGCACTTGCTTTGGTGTGCACAGACATTTATAGTGATCCATTAGCTTTTACCTTTCACAAGTGTATGGAGCTGTACTGTCATGGCCCCTTTAAGGCACGCCAAGGTTCAGAAAACGTCTATACGTTTTATCCCCATATACTTTTCCAAGATTCACATATTAAGGTTAAAAACACAGTGATCGAGGCTAACCTACATCTCCTCACATATGACCCACTACATGTTACTAATGTACATAACAGCACCGCCAACATGTTGGTCTGTGAATCTGACTAATGCATGCTATCCCCTACATGCTATCTTACTTCTAATATTAAAGACGCACTGTGTAGCATCTGCTACCTGCTTGTGTCCATGAAGCTGTTTATGGTATTAAACTTAAATGGTATATCTCCATGAAGATGCCACCAGGCTAAGAAACAGGTTGGAAAAGGATGTTTGTCCTCTATACAAGAATGTATGTTTTCAGGCAGTAAAAACATGTGTAATTGTAATGTAAACACAAGAGGTCGATATTGTATGTCTGAGGCCGTACTGTGCAACATTCCAGGCATTCCATTAACATGGCCATACAGACAAGATAGAGACGCCTCTACAAGAAAAGTTACAGAGATCCATTAAAGTTCTTGGGAAAAATGAATGGGAAATTTACTAAAATACCAACACTATGACACTACACTTCTTGTTTGGCTCTGCTCTCTTTCTCCCTTTCTCACTCTCCCTCCCTCTCTCTCTGTCCTCCCCACCATACCTCTGTCTCTCTCTCCCTCTCTCCCTCTCCCTCTCTCCTGCTCTCATCTCCATCACAGCCCACTGTTTCCTGTACAGTTTTACTTGATTCTTGCAGTGTACATGGCACACAGCAGCAGACAGTAGTGTGGGGCAATGGTTTTACAAAATACATGTTGAACTCTTTTTGTTTTCCATGTTTTTTTCTTTTTCTGCAGGCCATCGTGACAGCTGCCACCATGTCAGGCAAACTCACCCAGAAGGGAGGGGACCGGCCCAATGGGGAAGTGAAGACTGAGCTGTGTGAGAGCATGGAGACCAACAGTGAGTAAGAGAACACCTGCCTTTTATAACTACACATATAAAAGTACCGGAGCACTAGATTAGAATAAATGCACTTTCAAAAGCCTTAAAATGTAGTTTTGTTTTTCATATTTTTCAGGAAAATCAGGCGCAGCGCTTTTAGGCTATCAAAACACTACTGTAGTGTCCAATTGAATCAGAGGCATATATTTACATCATGTAACAAGTGCAGTTTCAAAGTAGATTGAAAATTGAAAATGTAACACTTTATACAAGAACAATTTTACCTGAACATTTTAAGTGCCATTTGCATAAGCAGGAGTTTGATTATGATTATAGAGCAGTACAATAGTTCAACTTTTCAGCATTATAGCAATCAAATCATTTGGTATTAGAAGTGAACGTGGAAAAGGGCATATCTTTAAAGCAATCAGTCCAACAAGATATAAGAATATTTCAAGGTTTTAGCTGCAGCCGCCCCACACCAAAAAATTATGACTCAATTAAACACCAAAACACCTCCCAAATTATGAAGACCACTTTGACTTTGCACACAGAAGGACATTACTTCTGCTTGTGTTGGAGTGATACTGGAGTGGGCATAAATATATTTTTCTGCATTTGAATAGGCTTGGCTGGTTAGATTAGGCTATCAGTAGGCCTGTCACATTAACACATTTTGAAGTGCGATATTTTGGTACAGAGATATACTGCGATAAGCAATAATACTGGAACTACTTGATGCCACTTACACAATAACAATAATGTAAACTACCATATTTTTCGGATTATAAGGCACACTTAAAATCCTTTAATTTTCTCAAAAATTCGACAGTGCACTTTATAATCCGAGGTGCCTTATGTATTAATTCTGGTTGTGCTTATTGACCTCAAACTGATTTTTTGTGGTACACAGTGCTCAAAAATCTGTCAAAATGTTTTAGTGCGACTTTGGGAAGCTACGAAGCTGCACCTTGATAGATTGAGTAAAGCCCAATTTACAGTCCTTAGTCCAACATAAATTGACTGCATCAGCGCACAAGGAGCGAGCTGTTTTTTCAGCACTTATAGTTTATGCAAATTAACCATGTGGTTTTCGTTTCTGTAAAACATAAACAAATGTGGCAAAGCTGCATTAAACACATTATTACTCAATGTATATTTAAATCCTCCTGATAGGAAAAAAAAACAAAAACTTAAATGATCCACCCACATTCACATTCATAATCCACATTCACCAAGACAGGGAGGCAACGCAGGGCGAATTATGCCACGATCTATTAATGGATCGTGGATGCCTAAGGGATCAGTCTCAAATGTTGTCCAATTGTTTCACTTAATTCTCCTTATAATTACAACTAAAATACCTCCAATCTCCATACTTTTACAAAGAAAATGTACACACAATAAATATTGACCCTAACAATATATCCAGCTTTCTATATTGAACAATATGTGGATATAATAATTACAAACCATTGCATAGCTAAAAGTCACTGCCTGGACTTGAGTCAAACATTAGTAGCCAAATTTCAAACCAAATAATAAATAAGTATCTGTCTAGTAACTAGTAGAATGTGCACATGGACAAGTACAGTTTCGAGTGAGTGCCCTGCTTGTGGTGTGTTTGATGGCTGATTTTCCATAGGATAACGCAGCATGTGGAGCATGTGCCTTTCATATCCTGCTGCATGGACAGTCAAGCAGCACTTCAAACACTCATCTCATGTTCAGCCTCCTGCATCAGCGATCTGCACAAGAGGGGATCATCATGGCCGCCCCTGCAGTTTTAGTATTAGCATTATTATGCCAAAATACATCGTGATTTTATGATGGTCCTGATGATGACCCAGCATGGAAAAAAAAAAAAAGACAAGAGAATAGAAAAAAGAAAGAAAAGAAAAATACACAAAAATATAATTAAATACACCATCAAACCATTTTTGTTCTTTTGAAACATTCTGAATTTTTTAAAGCTTTTTGTTGCCAGATGGTAAAATTAATTTACAGTTTACATGATCAATGATATAGAGCATTCAGCGTTTTTGTGTGTGTGTATGTTTTAAAATTATTATGTGTATCATGGAAAAAAAAAAAAAGAAAGAAAAGAAGAAGAAGAAGGGAAAAAAGAAGAAAGACACTACATTATTAATGATCTAAGTAATCTTGACTTTTGAAAAATCTTCAAATTTTTATTGAGGATCCTCTAAATTTAGATTTAGCATTACTGTCAAGTTGATTATCCCTGACATGTCTGAATTCCACTCGAGCTGATGTGGACAGTGGTCTTTGGTTGAATGCATGTCTGGAGCACTAATCACAGAAGGTCATATGTTTTAACACTTTCTCTTCTTTGTATGCATATGTTTTTGACCCGGGGGCAAAGCATGTTTTCCTGTCAGCACTTCATTAGCATCACTGAAGAAAGCAGGTCAAATGGCATTCATTAAGACTCATTCATTAAGAGTAATTAGCGCTGTTTTCTGTGCCATCGCATATGCACCCACTGACAAAGCTGCATTGTTAAATGTCTATTTACTTATGTAGATCATCTTCAAAGAACATGTAGTGACATGACTTCAAAATTACGTTGAATTTATTATAAGACAAGCAATACCACCATTGATAATTTATTAATTTATTCATTATTAATACTTATTAATTTATGTTTTTTTATATATATATTTTTTGTTATTATTGACTATTTGACATTTTTTTATTGCTCAAAGAGCTAGAAAATTAGCAGCCAGGCTGGTGCCACCTAGTGCCTCCACTCTATTTCATTTCTCTCTAGGTCAGGAATCAGAATACACTAGACGGTTCGTAAAAACCCTGGAAGTGCGAGTTCAGGCACCAGCCAATCAGCAAAGAGCCATACATTCTGTATTGGCAACGATTCCCGAGATTGAGGATTTAAAGCCGGAACAGAGAGTCAGAAAGACATTATTGCCCTTCTTCCTACAGGAAAAGCTTAATATACCAGTTAGCCCCGTTAGCAGCACATTACATATGTCACGACCAAATAGCAGTGATTGGTTAAATGAAAAAAGTACCCGTCTGCCATGGAGCGAACAAATTCTAACGCTGCAAGGTCAGACGGTTTCTACAAAGTGAAACCAGCTGATGAATCAGGCTAGAAAAGTAAGACTTGACCTGAGAAGAAAATGTGGCTGGGTTGTCAATATAAGTCCTATGAGGGTAGAAGTTTATTGCAAGCTGCTACTACTGCTTTTAAAGTGGTGCTAAGCACCTAAAATCCAGCCAAACCACATTTCAAATAGAGCTGCTAAACTGGGCAGAACCTAGAGGATTAAAGGGGAGAGTGAGTGGAGAGGAGGTTTGGAAGGATAAGAACAGTGTGATTGGTCGAACAGGCATCTACACTTCAATCTCCACCTCTGCAGCCAGGTATTTGTAATCAGGTACACCAGGCTTTAATCAGGGCAGTTGTGCATGATGTCACATAATATTTTAAATTACAGTGGCAAGTGGAGGAAGCGCACACTCAATGCAAATTTTCCTAGTTTGTGCTACAATTGGCCAAAAAGCAGTAGGGACAATACAGTAGATAAGGCTACTAAAAAAAACACATATACAAGTGGCAAAAAAATTGTTTGAATGTTGTTTCCTCATCAGCAACATACCTGGAGTTGTGTTTTGTTTAATTTGCTGAGGGTGAGTTCTTCTCTCAAACAGAAAACACTTGGAACGGAGCATCGGATATGCAACCAGACTAATAATAAAGGGTTACACAGACGTGTGTGAATGAAAAAATTCAACTCTTGGTATATTTCAATGAGGTATAAATATTGTAACGTGGGTGAAAGCTCACAAGAGTATTTTTTTGTATAATTTAGGACCTTTTATCACTAACAATACTACTTCACTTAAAAAGACATTACACAAATATGATACAAGTATTGAATTCATTGGAGCAATACTATGAGAAATGTCTAGCTCTTTACCTCTTGCCCCAAGGTAGCCATTCAACGCCATTATATTCCCAGTGCAGTAAGTGAAATGTAAAACCTCAAATATCTTCTTGACATTTTTGCAAAAGGAAAAAAAAAAAAAAAAAAAAAAAAAAATCAATTGACACTTTTCTGAATGTTTGCAATGTACTTTTTTTTTTCTTCTTCTATCAAGGACTTATTTTCCCATGCTTGAGCTGGTGTGATGGAGAGTGAAAGGAGAAGTGAAAGAGCCTGCGTGAAAGCACCAGCATATAACAATGGCGCAGTTAGAGGCTGGGGCTGCTGCAAAAACATTGACATTTTCCTTGGCACGCTTGAGGGGACACGAGATGTAATGGGTTTCACAAAAGAATCTACATCTCAGGTGGAGAGGTGGCACAAACAGGAGGGAAACGCCATCACTTTTCTCACTTTCTTCATCTATTTTCCAATCCTTTGGCTTTTATATTTCAAATGGCGTCATTGGAAGAAGTACAATAGCAGGTTTTGTGATCGTGTGCTGATGTCAACTGGCTGGAATAGTTGTCGGTCCTGTCAGCTATAGAAGAGATTTATGTATGTTTGTATGTATTTATGTATTTGCAGACTTTATTGTCCTCATAGAAAAATGTGTCTCTTAAAGAAACTGTATACAACCCGCACTCTTACAGCTTTAAAAAGATACTACAGGCACAACTGAACCTCGGTTAGCAGTGCCTTGACCTGCAGATAAAGCACATACTGTATGAATCCATGTTGCCATGCAGAGCGTATTGCCTTGCCCATAATTGTAATAAAGTATCTAAAGTACCGGTCAAAAGTTTTAGAACACCCACATTTTTCCAGTTATTTATTGCAATTCAAGTCATGAAAGTTCAATGAAGAGCTTGAAATGGTACAAAGGTAAGAACTGAACAGCCAGAGGTAAAAAAAAAAAAAAAAAAAAAAGATAAAATATAACAAAACACAAGTCCAAGTTCTGCCAAAACTACCTCAGGAAAAAAAAAAAAAAAGATAGTAAGCTTGAAAGCATGGAGTGTCCAGCTCAGTCTCCAATCTTAAACCCCATTGAGCTGGTTTGGGATGAACTGGACAGAAGGACAGAAGAGTGAAAGTCAAGCAACCTACAAGTGTCAACATTTATGGGGACTTCTACAACAGACTTGGGAAGAACTTTCTGAAGAACATTTGATTTCTATTGTAAAAAGAATTCCATGAGTGTTTTGGCTACGCACGGTGGTGGCTACTTTCATGAATCAAAAGAGAATATGTTTTGGTCAACAGTAAAACAGTAAAACACTGGAAAAAGTGTGGTGTTCTAAAACTTTTGACTGGTAGTGTATGTTAATTCAGACAAGCCTATGATGTCACCAAGCTGAGAGCCAGGTCAGATGTGTGGATTGGCAACCCTGCTAACACTGAAAATGTTTGTCAATGTATGTTATTGAAAATACATAAATAAGTACATTTATACTTTAGTATTTATACCTTCTTACTGTGAGGTAATGATGTTAGCTAGTAAACAAGGGCAGGGCAGTTTCACTCTAAAAGTCCTCCCTTTGGCTCTGGACTTAGTTAACTCGGAGCATGATAAATCCTAGTGCCTCAAGCCAGGACCATCAAATCAAACATGGCTTCTGGGTGGGAGCTGAAAAAAAAAAAAAAACATCTTGATTGCAAAAACCAGTGCCCACATGACAAAATATTTTCTACAGTGAACAACGGCTGGACAAATGAGGGATTACACAGTCTACTGTAACGCCACAGTCCTGACCTGTAATTTGGTCAGCTAGAGATGAACCAGTGCTAATGAAAGGAATGCCACACTGATTTATGTGCCTACAATTTTTACTACTTACTTTGAATTATATCACCATTTATTTTTATTTACTCTTTGGTATAATATTGGGATGTGTGATCTAGTGTATTAATTGTAAAGTCATTTCCCTTATGGATAAATAAAGTCTATGGTAGAGGTTAGAGGCAGCAACTGTTCTAATCACACTTTCCAAACTTGATATAGTGGTTTGTTTTGTCTCATTATCTAAAGCATGTCTTGAACTGTGCAAGAAATATTGAAACAGTTATTAATATGTCATTTTTATCTGTCTCTCTTCAACAGCTTCATTAACTAAGACGACATATGTGAGCTACAGCAATCACGCCATCTGAGGGAATCACTGAAGGGAATGAAACGAATGGGCCTGGACACATGAATGAGAAGCGGCTTGTCTGTGGGCGGAGCCAAGCCAAAGAGCGAACCGTAGATTCATCTTCTGATTGGTCGAAGCACCGGCTGACATTCCGAGTGGCCAATGGCATCCAAGCATGAGACATTTTGTATTGTTCCACATCCAAACCACGAACAAAGTGGGACCACATAAACAGCCAATCGTTGTGCCTGCTTTCTCGCTGCTCACAGCTCATTGGTCCTACTATGAACTTACTGTTTAAAAAAGAGACAATGTGTAAAAAGTGACATGCCATAGGACACTGTGGTGGACTGAGTAAAAAAATTGACAAATGCACAAAAAAATCACAAAACAATAAAGAAGCACAAAAAACAAATGTAGACTTAATATCTAAAAAGGGCAAAGATGGGGCGGGGAGAGAGATTTAACAGATTTTAAAAGATATTTAAAAGAGAATTGTATGAGAAAATCTATGAGACTCAAAGCTGTTTGTTGTTATTCTCCTTGTAAGTATTTTTGTGGTCGTGCTGATTTTTTCATTCTTGTCTCCCGTTGTCTGATGGATCGCCCTGCATACTGAGATGAGTGTGTCCTGCTGTCTTGGCTAACCGGGTCGTAGCCTTGGGTCGTGAACCTGTACAATGCCATGGTTGAAGCATGCCAGTTTTTATACAAAAAGGAGATTTATTTATAATAAAGGAATGTTTTGCAAATGTGTAGATTGGTGTTTGTGTTTTTGAAATAATGAGATCAATGAGACTTAATAATGACCATGTGAATGCAGATCCACAATGGTACAGGGGATGATCTGTTGAGTTTTTTTCATTTAAAAATCTCAGAGATAAAAAGCAGCCTAGCGTAAATTATGATATGAAAAAAAAATATCAATGAAATATTACATTAAGTATTTTACTTTCAGTTTATTTTGGTTTGTATTAGAAGCTAGAACTTGGTGGACCATAGCACCTATCCAATTTAGAGATAAGTATATCGAAAATCATGCAACTGGTGCCATTTTTTTCTTTTGTTGTTTATCTTTTCTTCCATAACAAAAGTCGATATACAGTATGTTATAATATGATACATTTTCGATAGCTTTTTTCAGCTCCAACTTTAAGATTGCACACTGACAGTATAGAAATATAATTGGATCTTTCTATTCACAATCTTCTGGAGATGACAAGCCCAAGCTGTGCAGTAATTCCTTGGCTAAAAAAAAAGTCCTTAATTAAATTTCTTTGAACACCCAACAGTAAATCCTTATTGAGACAGAAGTGAAGCACGAATCAATAGCTTTAACTGAATCTCTATTAGATTGACTGTATAATGAGATCGGTCATAGCACTCAAACACTCCAAATAAACACAACAAAGCTGAAAATTACAATATTATCAAGCCAATTTACTGGTATTAGTGCTTCGGCATGAGTGGAAAATTGCTCTGCTCTACTATCCTAAAAGCTTTAATTCATTACATTTTATGCCTTTTATCAGACGCAAATTGTCTCTTGAGATCCTGGGGTATTTTAGTACTTTTGACTAAGTGCAAGCAGGTCTTTCCCCGTCTGAAAACACAGACGGATATGAAAGGGAGAATATTACATACAGAGGTAGATACTCAGCAAAACTGTGCAGTAGAATCCAAGTGGGTAGTCAATATAACAGATGCTCACCAGGCAAAGTCCTCCAGCTAGGTACTCCTGAGATCCCAAGATCCAGAGGACAGACTCATTTCTTTGAACAATAAAGAGTAAAGACGAATGACAGTGTTTCATACCAACATCAAAGGTTCAATGGATGATTTACTGCACTGATATAAATACAAATGTTTACTTAAAGATGCATTATGTAACTTTTCTGTTGGAGGGACCATGATAAACCTGCTGTTGCTTTGTCCCAGTGTTCAGTAGTCTGGCATTTAACCTTTCTATCTCCATGGAGACAACAATGTCACCAGGCCAAGTTATGGGTTAGATCTGTGGAGAGGCAAGCCCAGCCTCAATTAAGAATGTGTGTTTTTTCCAGTGTATTTTTAAGCAATAAAAACACGTCATTTTATATCTTTAATGCCACACCATGGAATATTTCTGGTTATCCTAACTCAAAAAATCATAACATGCAGTACAGTAACCTCAACCAAAAAAGTTGCTATAAAACTTTCTGGTGGGGCTCTGGCATCTGCTTGTCTCCCTGGAGATGTCATTGTTTTTCCAGGAATGTTGCACAGTATGGAATTAAACTTTATTTACTTGGGTTTTCATTATTAAAAGTATACATATATAGTATATCAGCAGGCTCCCTTTTAACAGAACTGAACCGTATCTTGGCCTAGTGCATCACCAGCTTTCCTCCAAAGAAATAAACACATATTGTACTATGGAACATTCTGGTGAAGCAACCGATACTTTACAGCTGATATCATCGGCATTTGCTGGGGGTGTGATGCTAACTGAAAGCACCACTCTGTTAGAAGCTTTTTTACTCAAGTTAGACCTTAAAGGGACAGTCTGGAATTTTGGACATAGGACCTCGTTTCCTAGAGAGCCAGAGTCTTGGAGACGTGTGGAGAAACTTTTTAAATATATTCAGTCTAGTCCTTGTATTTGCAGAGGTCGCTGGTGCTAGGCTAGTGCATCTTAATGGCCACAGTTAGCCTGCCTCTAAAAACAGTCTTACCCACTCCACAAAGCACAAAGCAAATGTCTGTGTTGATAGAATAATGTTTGAAATAAAACTAGCCTTGCATCGCATGAATCGTCGCATGTTGAGGGACTATTTTCTCAGCAGCAGCGGAATTGTACTTTGCCGGTAAGATAGGTGCTAGGTGATATCAGTCCGCCGCTGCCGAGGTTTCTATCAGGAAGTACAACTCGCTGCTGCTCAGACATAAATCCTCAAATACAAGGTTGGTTTTACTTCTAAAATTATTCTACAGACATTCACACTGACAGTCTGGCATTATAACTGTTTTACTTCAGGTGCAGTGTGGAGTGGGTAAGACTGTTTTTAGTGACAGGATAACTATGGCCATTGACATGCGCTAACCTAGCACCAGTGACCTCTGCAAATACAAGGACTGGATGGGATATTTAAAAAAAATGTCTCCACACGTCTCCAACACTCTGACTAACTAGGAAATGAGATCCTATGTCCAACAGGTGAGCTGATTGGTGCTGTTTAGCAAGTCTGTCACATAAAATTATAAACATGTTTTCAGTTGGTCACTGTCACATTTTTTAGTTGAAAATCAAACCAAACAGGACCATGAACACTCATTGATCACAGGCTCCTGAAAATGAGTTAAGTTCATTTTGTATTTTTTCTTGAGCTGTCAGACTGTCTTAAAACTTTTTTTTTTTTTTTTTTCTTTGTTTACTAATGTGTGCATTGTCTCACCATGTTAACTGCCAGAGGTGGGACTAAGTCATTGTTTTGCAAGTCTCAAGTCTTTGACCTCAAGTCCGAGTCAAGTCCCAAGTCAAATACAGGCAAGTCCAAGTCAAGTCTCAAGTCTCTGGTCCATTAGTCCTAGTCAAGTCCAAGTCGTCTGCTTTGAGCTTCAAGTCATTTCAAGTCTTTGAACCAAAGTACCAAATAGCTTAGATGTTTGCAATGTATATGACTTTTAAACTAAGTTGTACTTAAAAAATCATAGTATATGTTTATATGAGTATTTATAGAGTGTATAAGGGTTGTAGAAATGTTAATTTTTCTTTTTTAAATGTCTTGACAAGATCTTGAGTGTGTTCAGAGTAGAAAGAATTCAGATTTAAAGGTGCTTATCAAGTCTTCTCAAGTCACAGGCTTCAAGTCAGAGTCAAGTTCCAAGTCTTAGTCTATTTTATCAAGTCAGTTCTCAAGTCCTAAAAATAGTGATTCAAGTCTGATTCAAGTCCAAGTTACGACTTGCAAGTCCCCCCCTCTGGTAACTGCTGAACTGCCAATAGAGATGCATGTAGAACACCCCCAGTGTGACGTCACTCCAAAGTATCAATAACAAAGATGTACCTTGTGCCCTTTAAGAGACCTGTTCACAAAAAGGAGATATTTCATCATAGAAACTGCTCAACCAGTTCTGTGCTTTGATTTAGATTCCTCACATATTTGCTTTTTATCTGTCCTAAAATTTTAGTACTTGTTTCTTTCTAGATCTTTTTCCTCAGGTCCGTGCTGGCTGATGGACATGGGAAACAGACCTGGTGAATTTTAAGTGGACACAACTCCCTGCTCTGCGCTCCAGTAACAGTCTGAAACCTCACACTCATCCAAGCCTCCAAAATCCAGGAGAGCTCAAAGGGCCAGTCAGACGCATCACTGACTCCATTCTACTCGGACCAGAGAGATCGATACAGCTCAAGGCAGTGAGAAGCACCTGGCAACGTGTACCAGGCAGCTGTACAACTGTCAGTCTGGAGGTGGTTTGTGGCGTGTTCAAAGTACAACACAAAGCACAACACTTTTACTCTATGTATTATTCATTTTTACTGTGTGATACCAAAACTAGATAGTTCCCAGATTCTACCATGTTGGCTTTTATCTCTCAGGTTGGGGATAGTGGATTCAGTTCCATGTGGTATTTTGTCACTTTGTTTTTCCATGCAAGCAGATTGATTTGATGACAGAGCACGTCTGTCCCTGATTGGCTAATTCACCTGTCAGTCACACTTCTATAGAGTTTGGGGTGATAAAACCAGTGTCCATTAAGGAGGTAACGATATCAAAATCTCTCAGTACGATATTATCACGATATGCATCTCATGGTACGATATTTATTGCGATATTTTGGAGAGGCTGATATAACTGTAGATGGGATACTTTTTTTGCTTTTAAAATACCTTGACAAGGTTTTGGTGTGAATTATTTCCATCATAATCTCAAGAATTCAAGTCAAAAACATATCTCTGCATGTTATTTGCACTGAAACGAATCATGGGATATGTAGTTCCCTATGCTTATAAGCTGTTGCTACTATAAAACCATA